CCTGATCATTCATCAGCAGACTTTCCGCTCGCACCGCACTGCACAGACAGGAGGTTAACACTACAGATCAACAACTTGCTCTTATATAGCATCCCGGAGCGCCTGACAGTGGCGGAGTCTGACCTCCGAGTCAGGGGGAGCGGGGTGGGGGTGGGGAGAGGAAGGTGACCGTAAGCACGCTCAAAAAGGAAAGTCTTTAGGTTAGATATGAAGGTGGGAAGGGCGGGGGGCAAGGTGAGGGACTGAGGGAGAGAGTTCCGGAGGCAGTGGAGGAGGAAGGTGGGGGCGACTGTTTCGAACCCGACAGAGGGGGTCCAGGAGGACGAGGAGGCAGAGGAAGTCCTGGTCAGAGAGAGCGAGGACGTCACTTGTCACGTCGACGAGTGCTCGTCTCAGTGTTGCGGGCTGGGCAGGAACCGGACTGGGAGGGGCTCGAGCAGGGAGTGGAGGGCGAGGTGCGAGCGAGATTGGTTTGCGACCGTGCGCTCCAGGGCTTTGGCCAGGAAGCCATGAAATGCACCGGTAGTGCGCGAGGTTGAAGGGATAGAGAGTAGGTCTTTTTTTTAAAAAATATATAAAAGGAGTAACCACAGGCGGGACCTCGAACCCCGGGGTCCTCTCGCTTGCGAGTCAAGTGCTATCAGCACTTCGCTCCTTTAAGACACGCACTCACGTGCACTCCTCGATCTCGTCCAGATCATCCAGCAAAGCCACATCTCCGGCTGGAATAAAAAAAATAATTTCAGAACGTAACATTTTTCTCTTTTCCCTTCTCTCATTCTTCCATGGAACCATAGAAATTTAGAGCACAGAAAAAGGCCATTGGTCCCACGATGGGTTTGCCGTCTCCCTCGAGCAATCCTTCCTGTCCCATTTCCCTGCCCTTTCCCCACGTCGCTAAGACCTTAAACCGCTCTGTTTAAGGTATTTATCTAGTTCCTTCTTGAAACCAACATGGATTCTGCCTCAACCACCGCTCCCAATAGAGCATTCCATATTCTAACCTCTCTGCGTGTGATAACATTTCTCCTAACCTTCCCATTTACTTGTTTACTAACTATCTTAAACTGATGCCCTCTAGTTACTGACTCATCGACCAGTGGAAATAAGGTCTTCTCTATTGACTGCATCAAAACACGTTGACATTTTAAAGTCCTCAATCAGGTCACCCCTCAACCTTCTTGGTTCCAGCAGAAAATGACCCAGTTCCAATCCTCCAGTCTCTGCTCATAGGCCAAACCACTCCTCTCCGGAGTCACCCTAGTAAGTCTCCTCTGTCACCTTAATGTCTTTCCTAAAGTGGGGATCAACACTGGATACAATATTCTAACCGCGGTCCAACTCACTATAAGTTTAGCATCACCTCTTTGCTTTTATATTCTATTCCCTTAGTTATAATCCCTAAGATCCCAGGTTACTGTCTGCACCATCTGAGGAGACACATGCTGTGGAGATGATGTGGTATTGGGAGAAGTAGATACCATGCAAAACCAGATCCACAATACTGCCTTTAATACCCTCCTGCCCGTCACCCGTCCTGAATGCAGCTCCCAGCTCGGTGCAAATCCATGACTGTCCAGCGCCTCGGGACATCCTCCTGATGTGAAAGGCACTTTGCAGATGTAATTTGTTGTTGTTGTTAATAATAATTATCCTTGCATTTAATATAGTATCTTATGGCATCTTTGAGACATCTCAAAGCGCTTCACAGAATATACTGTAAAGTGAATTGACTTGTGTATTTTGTGGGCGAAATGCGGCAGCCAATTACATACAGCAATGTCCCACAAACAGTCGTGGATTGAGTGAAATTATTCTTATTATTTTGAAAGGATTATTACCTTAAGTGTATCTATATGTCTGTGTGTATCTGTGGATGTATGCATGTCTCTGTTAATAATAATTATCCTTGCATTTAATATAGTATATATCTGTGTATGCGTATCCGTGTGCGTGTATCTGTGTGTGTGTGCGTATATACTGAGTGACCAAATTATTATTATTATTTATTTTGAAGGGCTTATTATGCCCGGAAAAGGGATCTGCCAATCGACTAACAACCGGGTTCCTACTTACCGCGAGGTAAACAGCCGTGTGGAGTAAGGAAACTTGCCCGACATTTCGCCCTGCCTGGAAATCAAACCCGGGACCTCTAATCACTAAGCTACAGAACTCCGTATTATTATGCCAATGTGGTATTCACAGAGTAGAGTGAATAATCAAAGTCACAGGAGGTGCAGCAGAGGGAAACAGAAAGCTCACCTATCCAGCCTGTAGACAGATCCAGACGCTTCTTTTTATTGGGAGGTTCCTCCTGCAGAAACAAACACGCCAAAACCAATCAAGATGCCATGGGATGGGACCTCCAACTCACTGCTCCGATTACCCAGCTCAACGCTCCTCAATAGCCCCCTCCCCAATCTCCCGTCACTCTGCAGTGATAAACCATGCCGTACAGGACACGTGTCCACATAACTACAACAACAACTTGCATTTACACAGCACCTCTCGAGCGCTCGACAGTGGCGGAGTAACGACGCAGAGGTATGGTCGAAGAGAAAGGTCTCAAGGCACGATCTGAAGATGGGAAAGGAGAGGGCAAGGCAGAGGGATAGATGAAGTGTGTTTCAGATTTTCGGGGCGTAGTGACTGAAAGCGGGGCTGGTGGAACGGGATGCACGAGAGGCATGCAGGAGGCCGGAGCCAGTCGAGCGGAGGCAGCGGCTTGTGGGTTGGGGGCTGAGCAGTTTGGAGAGTTGGGGAGGTTCCAGGGTATGAAGGGATTTGAAAAGGCGTATGAGGATCTTGAAATCAATCCATTCGGTGATAGGGAGCCAGTGGAGCCTGGCAAAAAGTGAAATACCGAGCATTTCAGAGACTCTGCAATTTCACTCAAATGCACCAGTCAGTGTACTGACTTACACAGCATACGCAGAGAACCTACAGCATCAAAACAGGTCTTTCAGCCCAACTAGCCTGTGCTTATGCTCCACATGAGCCCCCACCCCTCCCAATCCGCTCTCCTTGTCCCTTTCTCCTTAATGAATGCAGCCTATAACCTGGAGTCATAGAGGTTTGTCGTACAAAAGGCTGTTCGGCCATCATGTCTCCGCCGGACACAATCAAACATACACTATATACTATGTGAGGGTCACCCCTATCTTGTAATCTAGAACAGAAATAATAATAATCTTTGCATTTGATATAGCGCCTTATTACGTCTTTGAGATGTCTCAAAGCACTTCACAAAATACACTTACTGCTAGGTAACCAGAGGCGAGTGGAGTAAGGAAAGTTGCCCAATGTTTTCGTCCTGCCCAGGAATCGAACCCAGGCCCTCTCACTTGCGAGGCGAGTGCTCTAACCACTGAGCTACATGATTCCACAAATTAACAGTAACTATAGGAATGATGATTGACTAAGAATTCCCCCCCTTCCCTTTTGGAGCTGGGACTCAGCTGAAGCCCACGATTTCTCCACTTGCAAGTGTTTTTATCCACAAGGCAGAATTCCTACCTGTCTCTCCCGATCCTTAGTAACGACCACGGGAGGCTCCTGCAGTTTCTCGGTGTATTTGAGCAGGAGGGAATTTCCCAAACGTGATCCAAGGAACAGGTATCCCGGCTCCAGGGTGGTCATCTGTCAACAAGAGGACGTTGTACAAACCTTCACTGCATGTGGCACGAGTTCAATCGCCTCCCCTTCCCCCCTCATCATCTCGCTCAGCAACCTAGCAACCTCTCACCTCTCTCTACCGAGTCGTAATCAACTGGTGGTTAGCAGGATGTCAGTTTTCTGAGTTTTTATAATAATAATTATGATAATATTCAAAACTCCGGGGCCCGCATTCTCACCCGCAGGGATCTGCTGCCTGGACAATCGCTCCGAGCACAAAGACTCCAAATCTTGGAACTGCAGGGAGATTGCACTGAACCGGCAACAACAACTTGCATTCATACAGCGCCTTTCACGTGGGGTAGCGTCCCGGAGCACTCGACAGTGCCGGAGTCTGATGCCGAGCCAGGGGGAGAGGGAGTGGGGAGGTGACTATAAGCACAATCAAAAAGGAAGGTTTTTAGGCGGGATTTGAAATTGGGGAGGGCAAAGCCGAGGGATTTGAGAAAGAGATTCCCAGAGCCTAGTGGCTGAAGGCACGGCCACCGATGGTGGAGTGGAGGGGACAAGGGACAAACAGGAGGCCGGAGCCAGCTAAGCGGAGGCAGCGGGTGGTGGAGTGGGGGCTAAGCAGATCGGAGAAGTCAGGAGGTGCCAGGGCTTGAAGGGATTTTAAATCCCTCCCACACAGTACATTTCAGGTTTAGGAGAGACGCACATGCAACAGAAAAAGCGTTGAACTTACACAGGTGGTGAGGACGCTGGCCGCAGCCTTGTCGAAATGGAACGCACGAACACTTCTCATTCCGTCCGTTATCAAAGTCAGCACGTAGCTAGAGGGAACAAGCAGCCGAATCAGGGAGTCGCAACTGGACAAATTAACCTCATTAACTGGACAAAATTAACCTCATTGACTGGACAAATTAACCTCAGATTCGGGATGGAGCAAACGTCAGCAATGACAGGAATCAGGAACGCAAACTGTAGATACAAATTGAGGGCGCTGGAGCCTACATCGGTAGGATGTAGGATAAAAATAATCCTTGCATCTGATATAGCACCTTATCACGTCTTCAAGAGCGCTTCACAGAATATACAGTAAAGTGCAGTGGGCAAAACACAGCAGCCAATTGCACACAGCAGTGTCCCACAAAGAGTCAGGGATTGAGTAACCAATTTTTTTAAGGGATTATTACCCCCAGTGACTGGTCTACCCCACCGAGTACTGCTAATGAGCCAGACTAGGCTGTGCTGTCATCAGCGGTGCCCTGGAATACTGCGTACCTGCTTCACTCAAGTACCAGACAAGAAAGGTCCGAGATAGACTTAAGAGCAAAGCTGTGTTCAATCTCTTTTGAATCCCTAAAACATATTCCCACAGTGACTGAAGTGCCAGAGGAGAGAGAAGATCGAACACTTACATTTCACCTCCCTTCAAGGAAATCACAATCTTGTCGTAAGAAACAAAGGCAGCCTGAGCACAGTCCAGCATGATCCTCACACCATCCTGCATACCTGCAGCACAGACAAGTAATAACAATCCCTTCATTTGATATAGTGCCTTATCACGTCTTCGAGATGTCTCAAAGCGCTTCACAGAGTGTAATGTAAAGTGAATTGACTGTATATTTTGTGGGCGAAACGCAGCAGCCAATTGCACACAGCAGCGTCCCACAAACAGCCGTGGATTGAGTGGCTAAATTATTATATTTTTCAAATTTTATTTTTGTTTGAAGGGATTATTACCCCCGGAAAAGTGATCTGCCAATCGACTAACAATCGGATTCCTATTTACTGCTAGGTCAACAGAGGAGTGTGAGGTAAGGAAAGTTTTTGCACTGCCCGGGAATTGAATCCAGGCCCTCTTATTTGTGAGGTGAGAGCGCTACAGGACTCCACAATGACCAGAATATTGTTGACCAGGTCAGTGGGATAAACTCCCTTCTCTTTCAGAGCAGTGGGAAGGGATCTTTAACGTCCACCTGAACGTTATGAGGGTTGGGAGAGGAATGGGGGCCCTGGAAGCTGGGAAGCGACTACTTACGGAGCGGGAAAGCCGTGGTCCATTGGTTAGGCTGTTCAAGGATACTCCGTATGGCGGGACGCTTTGATTGAGGTAGAGCAGTGAGTTCACAGCAAAGATGACCACACCACCTGGAAAACACGAGCAACGCCCATCACACACACAACACTGGAGCTTGAGTACTCTATGGGTCTGAGAAGCTATACCCATAGTTAACTATACCTGCCCAAACTCTGACACTACACTACGCAGACAGGATCTAGGGTTAATAATAATAATCCTTGCATTTCATATAGCGCTTTACCGCATCTTTGAGACGTCTCAAAGCGCTTCACGGAATATACTGTAAAGTGAATTGTCTGTATATGTTGTAGGCGATTGGCTGCCGCATTTTGCCCACAAATTACACAGTCAATTCATTTTACGGTATATTCTGTGAAGCGCTTTGAGACGTCTCGAAGGCGTGATGAGGCGCTATATCAAATGCAAGGATTATTATTATTGCTATCATTATTAGCACCGAAAACCAAAGACAGCACAAGACAGACAGACACACACAATGTCAGGAACTCAACTGCGAGATGAATGGCCGGGCTGGTTTGCTCACCTATGGGTTTGGGCACAGCCATAGCCTGGGTGCAGTCGAAAGGCAGATTGCTGAGAGACCAGATGACGGGATGGACCTTCTGCATGATATTTAAGGAGATGGCCACAATGCTGCAGGTGTCCTGGCGTACAGCTACACGGCTGGAGAGAAAATAATATCAGAGAAAAGGAATAAAACAATGCCCAGTGCCACAAATACAGATTTTTTTTTGGCTCAGTCTGGTGTCTTAGACACATGCAGAAACCCATCACCGTGCTTAAGAATATCCAAACCAAACTGAGATTTCCATGCATCCCACCTACGCAAGGAAATTCCCATACATTGGAATGGAATGCACACTCTCTCCCTGGAGGAAAGTATCCTGCTTACCTAATTCCAGAGAATACTGGGTGCGGAGTGGCAAAAGCCAAGGCTTGGGGACCCCAGTGTGCGTTGGGGTAGCTGCTGCAGTCCGACCAGCTAAACCCGCATAGCTTGCCATTGACAGCATTGTCTGGCTAGATTTCCCGCTGTTTGTCCAGCTACGGCCACTCTACTCGTGAAGACTTTGGCTTCCAGGATTTCATTTCAGTATTTGCCTTGCAAAATTGGAGAATCTGGTGCTTCTCCTAATAAGTCCTCGTCACTAATTGGGTGTTTGGTTGGATGATCTGCATTGCCTGATGCCGTGACGGTTGGTTAGAACCCAGTCTTCCGTACTTGTTCGCTGTTCTGTACTACGGCATTACAGCTGGTACGTGCGCATGAAGGATCGGGAATTAGGCCCTTTAACTGTCTCACATGGAGCAATGCGTTTGCTGCTTCAAGGTCGGCAAGTGTGCATGAGGTGAAGGGTCCTTGTCACTCTCCACGTGATCAGGTGACACTGGTTCCTCTCTCAGCCCCCACCCCAACCCCCACCCATCCTCACCCCCCCTCACTGTGTTATGCGATTTATATAGATCAGATCTATGCAAGTTTTACTATACTACTACTAATAAAATAATAATCCTTACATTTGATATAGGGCCTTATCACGTCATTGAGACGTCTCAAAGGGCTTCATAGGATCTACTGTATCGTGTAGTGACTGTGTGCTTTGTAAGCGAAACTACAACAAAACGTGTGTTTATGCAGCACCTTCACGTGGTTAGCAACTCTCGAACGTTTAACAGTCATGTTTCCCAGCTGGAAAGCAAGGGGAGGTGACCGAAGGCACGGTCGAAGAGGAAAGTCTTCAGATGTGATTTGAAGATGGTCAAAGAGGGGTCAAGGCAGGAGTTCCCGAGATAGTACCTGTACAGGCAATCGAGCCTCAGTTTAACGTCTCAATCAAAGGACGGTGGCACGGAAAGAACCAGACAGAACATGAGGAGACATTTTTTTTACACAAGGGAGTTGTTGCAGTGTGGAATGCACTCCACCCAGCTCTGCACTGAAGTGTCCCCTTAGATTATGTGTGATCCAAGTCATGACATGGGGCCTGAAACCACAACTTTCTAACTCAAGAGGCGAGAGCGCTACCTACTAAACCAGGCTAACACACAAAATGTTTCCACAATCGGAGTCCTGTAGCTCAGTGGTTAGAGCACTCGCTTTGCAAATGAGAGACCTGAGTTCAATTCCAGGCAGAGGGCAAAACCTTGGGCAAGTTTCCTTACTCCCCACAGAGCCTAATAATAATCCCTCCAAAAAACAAAAACAATAATAAATTGTTCATTTTCAATCTACGACTGTTTGTGGGACATTGCTGTGCGCAATTGGCTGCCGCGTTCGCCCACAAGTATACAGTCAATTCACTTTACAGTGTGTTCTGTGAAGCGCTTTGGGACGTCCTCCCGACGTGAAAAGCGCTATATCAAATCCAAGGATTATTATTATTATTAAAATGATCCAATGCACTTATGCCAGACAACAATAAAAAGAGAGCTGTATACACACCCAGGCCACGTTTGATTGGGCTCGAAGAGGATGAGTAACGTCGGCTCATAGTAACCATACAGGAACTGCATGTCGATCACGTTCAGCAACTTTTCATCCAACTCGCGAACATCAATGATATAACTGGGGAGGAAACTGGACTTCTGCCTGCACACAAGAGAAAACACAGACCAGATCAGACCAGCACTCAAATGTTCACCAAACCCAACCCATTGGAAAAGCAAATTCTGCTTAGGTTAATACCAAAACATTCACTAGCTGATTCTGATAACTTTAGTTATGTGGAGAGACTAGAGAAGCTGGGATCGTTCTCCTTAGAGCAGAGACGGTTAAGGGGAGATTTAATAGGGGTCTTCAAAATTATGAAGAGGTTTAGTAGAGTAAAAAGGGAAAAATTATTTCCACTGGCAAGTGGTTTGGTAACCAGGAGAAATAGATTTAAGATGATTGGCAAAAGAATCAGACAGAACATGAGGAGACTTTTTTTTTTACACAGAGAGTTGTTGCGGTGTGGAATGCACTGCCTGAAAGGGTGGTGGAAACAGATTCAATAACAACTTTCAAAAGGGAATTAGACAGGTACTTGAAAAGGAAAAACCTGCACCGATATGAGGAGAGCGGGGGAGTGGGACTGGTTGAGTAGCTCTTCCAAGGAGCCGGCACAGGCACAAAGGGCCGAATGGCCTCCTTCTGTGCTGTAATATTCTATGATTTCAAAACAGGTTAGGGTGAAGAACGCCCTTTGGCCCATTTGATCTCTTCCAGAAGCCCCACGCTAATCCTTCCCACTACAGCAGAGCTGTTTTTAATATAAGACCCCGGTCGGTTTCCACCACTCTTCCCAGCAACTACTTTCCAGCTACAGTGGGACATACTTCCCCATTACGTGGAGTCCTGTAGCTCAGTGGTTAGAGCACTCGCCTCGCAAGCGAGAGGACCTGGGTTCGATTCCCGGGAAGGGCAAAACGTTGGGCAAGTTTCATTACTCCACACCCCTCCATTTACCTAGCTGTAAGTAGGAATCCGTTTGCTAGTCGATTGGCGAATCGTTTTTCTGGGAACAATAATCCCTTAAAAAAAAATTGTTTGGTCACTCAATCCACGACTGTTTGTGGGACACTGCTGCGCACAATTGGCTACAGTGTTTCGCCCACAAAATATGCAGTCCGTAAACTTTACGCTATATGCTGTGAATCTCTTTGAGACGCCTCGAAGATGTGACAAGACGCGATATCAAATGCAAGAAGAATTATTATTGAAGTTTCTTCACAGGATTTACTGTAATTTTGCAGGCGAGTGAGTCGAGGAAAACAAAATGATCAAAAACTACTTTTCTTTACGATGGAAGCTCACCCCTCCCCCATCACCCCATCCTGTTCATCACTCAGCGTGTCTCTGCGGAAAGGCAGGACTACCAGTTGCGTTCCATAGATCAGCATTACAGCACAGCGCCCGTCCGGGTCCACCCGTACCAGAGGGATGTGAACGTTCTGCACAAAACCATCCTGATGAGAGAGAGGAGAAAAGGAATGAATGAACTAACAGATATATATATTATATATATGTACACACACACACACATATATATATAGAATAGATGACTTGGATGAAGGAATAAGAGTTTTATATACAAATTTGCAGATGACACAAGTTAGGAGACCCAGTAAATTGTGGAGATGGGAGCAGGAAGTTTCAAAGGGACTTAAGACAGATTCAGTGATTGGGCAAACCTGTGGCAGATGAAATTCAATGTGGGGACGTGTGAGGCCATTCACTACGGATCCAAACATAGCAAAACACAATATCTTCTAAGTGGTGAGAAACCAAGAACCGTGGGGTAGCAAAGGGATTTGGGTGTCCACGCACTCGAATCATTAAAAACAAGCTCACAGGTACAAAAAGTTATCAAAAAGGCTAATGGGATGGTGGCGTTTATCTCAAGGGGCTGGAATATAAAGAAGAGGAAATGATGCTTCAACTATATACAGCCTTGGTCAGACCCCATCTGGAGTACTGGTTCAGTTTTGGGCATATCTCAGGAAGGATACATAATAGCCTGGAGGGGGTGCAATATTCACCGGAATAATACCTGGTCTTAAAGGGTTAAATTATGAGGACGGGTTGTATTCACAGAGAGTCAGCCAATGGTGCGTGGCTAAGAGTGCGTGGTGTGTGGTGGGGGGAAGAAAATAAAATTGAAGTGGGAGGAAAGACAGTGATGGTTGCGATGTCACTCTAATTTCAAACACGTTGAACTAAAACCCAACCTTAAGCTCAGGTTCCTCAAAGTAATGCAGAGATAGTGTTTTCAAGTCATGGGTTCCCGGATCATACTCCACCACAGACAGCTAAAGAGAAAAGAGAGGAGGCACCTTTATAACAATAGGGAGCTTCTCACAGTCACTTCAGTCAGCAGTTAAATAATCCTCGCATTTGACACGTTAAGCCACCTCAAAGCACTTCACAGGATATAATAATCCTTGCATTTGATATAGCGCCTTATCACATAGTTGAGACATCTCAAAGCGCTTCACATAATATACTGTAAGGTGAATTGACTGAATATTTTGTTGGTGAAATGCGGCAGCCAATTGCACACTGCCGTGTCCTACAAGTAGTTGTGGATTGAGTAATCAAATTTTTTAAAAGGGAATATTATCTCCAGAAAAGCGATCTGCCAATCGACTAACAACCGGATTCCTACTTACTGCTAGTTAACCAGAGGTGTGTGGAGTAAGGAAACTTGCCCAACATTCAGCCCTGCCCGGGAATCGAACCCAGGTCCTCTCACTTGCGAGCCGAGTGCTCTAACCACTACGCTACAGGATTCCGAGTACAGGGATGGGGGCAGCCACACTTCAGTCAGTGGCGGGGGGGGGGGTTGGCCTCTCACCTTGGCATCCTTGAAGCTGAGAAGCAGGGCATCTCGCTTGGAACCCGCAAGCTGGACGCTGGCCACAGACATGACGTTACCAAACAGGGAGAATGAGGCGACCTGCTCCAGCTTCTCCTTCCGACCCTTCGCCTCTGCAGACGAGCACAGGCAGAACTTCAACACATCATCATCAACAACTTGCATTTATATCGCTCCCTTTATGTGGGGCAACGTATCAGAGCGCTTAACAATGGCAGAGCCTGACACCTAGCCAGGGGCGGGTTGTGGAGAGGTGCTATTTGTTTTGGTCAGCCATGTGGAAACCCATCACCATGCTTAAGAGTATCCAAACCATGTTTTGCATATGTCAGACACTAAGACGTCTCAAAGCGCTTCACAGAATACACTGTAAAGTGAATTGACTGTGTATTTTGTGGGCGAAACGCGGCAGCCAATTGTGCACAGCATTGCTCCACAAACAGTCGTGGATTGAGTGACCAAATTTTTTTGAAAAATTTTTTTTTCAAGGGATTATTACCGCCTGGAATGCGATCTGCCAACTAACAATAGGGTTACTATTACTGCTAAGAGAGACGTGTGTGTGGAGTAAGGAAACTTGCCTACAGTTTCACTCTGCCATTTTTTTAAAAAAAAGGGATTATTACTCCCGGAAAAGCGATCCGCCAATTGACTAATCGGGTTCCTACTTACTGCTAGGTAAACAGAGGCGCGTGGAGTAAGGAAATTTGCCCATCGTTTCGCTCAGCCAGGAATCGAACCCAAGTCCTCTCACTTGCGGGGCGAGTGGTTTAATCACTGAGCTACAGGACTTCACTATTTTATCACTGCACTGCCTTACATTTCCAGCATTGACACAGCAGCTCTATATACAGTACAAGGCGACCACAAAGTCCTGTTACCCCATTTCTTTCCCTCTCTCTCTCTCTCTCTCTACAATGCACCAATCAACAACTGAAACATATGGAAGAAGGACGATTGTATTTAGGAGTACTTAATTGTATTCAGCACAAATGTTTCATTGTATTTATACATCCAGAGGATTTGTGTGAATGAATAAGTGCCATACTTTTAATGGCAGATAATGATCCATCGCCATGTTCGATGCCGCATCTTCCATAACATGGATGGAAGGAGGAGGCCAATTACACCTCTGGCGGCTTGTTTCAGCTCCTCCATAGTCTGGTATCACCATTTTATAACAGGGGGGTAACAGGACTTTGTGGACACCTTGTACATAGTGCAGTAGACCTCCCTCGGGTCTCAGTGGGTAATAGCACTGCTCAGTGCAGTATGTGGCAGCATATCTTTCACCAGAGCTGATGGAAAGTGTGACCTGATAGGGCTTCAGCATTTGCAACGGTTGCCATCAGGCAAACTCGATCTGGTTATTTCTATTAGTCCGAGACACAGGGACAAAAGAGCACAAACTTCAGACAGCCACAAAAAGAATTAACGGGAAGTTTAGAAAAACTCTTTCAGATAAGGACAGTGGAGAAAGTGGAAATCTATCACAAACTGGTTTGCTTCACCAATGGTGATTGGGACTTCAGACTCTCTGCCCCCACCCGCTGGAGCTCCATCCCAGTTCCTTCACATCGCCCCTTACTCTCCTCCTTCAAGGCATGTCTGAAGACCTTCTTCTTCAATTGTGCCTTCGGTCACACTACTACCTCCCACCCTCCCTGCCCTCCACCACTCCTGATTCTAACTCCTAGCTCGGATGCAAATCCTTGACTGGCCAGTGCCTTGGGACGTCCCGACTTGAAAGACATCATATAAATATAATCAGGTATTAACGTTGCTGTTGCCTCCACATTCCCCGTTATTGTACCGCTGAAAGTTACCTGAGGTCTTGTCTCCTTTCACTGTACTCTGTAATACAAAAAAGGGGAACAGTTAGTATCAGTGCGGTGTGATTCTTTGAGAAAGACCTCAGTGGTGAGATCAATGTTCTGGGGTGTAGGGTGACGCACATGATAACTTCTGTCAGTGTGTAATGATGGCTACCTCACGTCTCACAGCCATTTGTCCCATCTGTTTTTCTTGTGAACAACAACAAATTACATTTGTATAATGCCTGCCTTTCATGTCCCAATGCCCAGTTTAACTACACTCTCCTCAATGTTCCAAGTAACCTTTAATATTCCTCCTGTCCAACCTTCTAATTCTCATTTAAAATTGCCAGACTCTGCCTCAACTCCAGTTTGTGATAAAGAATTCCATATTCCAACCACCCTATAATACAACAATAACAACTTGCATTTATATTATTAATATAATTATCCTTGCATTTGATATAGCGCCGTACCACGTCTTAGAGACGTCTCAAAGCGCTTCACAGAATACTCTGTGAAGTGAATTGACTGTACGTTGTGTGGGTGAAACTCGGCAGCCAATTGCACACAGCAGTGTCCCACAATCAGTCGTAGATTAAGTGACCAAACTATTATTATGCCTAATGTTTCGCCCTGTCTGGGAATCGAACCCAGGTCCTCTCGCTTGCAAGGCGAGTGCTCTAACCACTACACTACAGCACTCCACGATATGAGTGAGGTTGAGATTCTGGATAGATTCAAGGAAATTAAAACAATCAAACGCCATGGGATTGATGACCTGTAGCCCAGGGTATTTAGGGAGACAAGACAGGGATTCGTGACAGACATCATGAGGAAGTCAATCAGGAATGGGAGCGGTTCCAACAGACTGAAAGCAGCAGATATTGTTCCCATTTTGAAGAAAAGCACAGATTATGAATCAACCCTGAGACCTCCTGGTCTGTAGAACCTAATACTGCACCCATTGAGCAGCAGCGAGAGCTCTTAAATGTAAATTTAATCAGGATCATGTTACAGAAAAATTCTGGGTTGGCTTCAACTGTGAGAGACATAAGGCTTTTAGGTCCAAGCTTGAGGTGCACTCACTTTAAAATACGCTTAATAAAAAATGGACATACACCAACAACTTGCATTTATATAGCGCTCTTCACGTGGGGTAGCGTCCCGGAGCGCTTGACAGTGGTGGAGTCTGACCCCGAGCCCCCACTGACACAGGGGGAGAGGGAAGGGGGAGGTGCTTGTAAGCACCATCACAAAGGAAGGTCTTTAGGGAGGATTTGAAAGTGGGGAAGGAGGGTGCAAGGTGTAGGGATTGAGGGAGAGAGTTCCAGAATTTTGGAGCAAAATGAACAACAGAATCCGTTCAAAGGCAAGCAAATAATCTGACTCAAGACTCATGCATTTGGCAATTCAAATCGCGGTGCTGACCTCTGCATCGTGGATCAGCCTGTAGACGTGCAGCTGAGAGATGCCGGCTACCACCAGGTTGCGCTCAGCGTTGTTGAAGAAACTGCAGTAGATGGCGAACTCCAAGCCCGTGGGCGGGTGGGCCTGGCGATGTACTGCATACATGTTGTCAGCTCCTGCCCACCGTCAAACTCTGAAACAAAAAGCAAAATAACATGTTGCAAGTTAAAAAGACGCATGCCATCTTGAAGTTCTCAACCATTTGTCCCAGTGTTAAGAGTTGAACGGCGTTAACAGGACAAAACAGGAGGGCAGTGGGAGAGAAGGTCTAATGTACAGCTATTTCTATTCCTTAATAAGGAAACTGGAAGCACAGCCAAAATAATAACAACAACTTGCATTTATATAGTGCCCTTCATGTGGGGTAACGTCCCGGAGCACTTGACAGTGGTGGAGTCTGACCCCGAGCCCCCACTAACACAGGGGGAAAGGGAAGGGGGAGGTGCCCGTAAGCACGATCAAAAAGGTCTTTAGGGAGGATAATAATAATGCTTGCATTTGATATACCGCCTTATCGTGTCTTCAATACACCTCAAAGCGCTTCATAGAATATCCTGTAAAGTGAATTTACTGTATTCTTTGGGGGTGAAGTGCGGCAGCCAATTGCGCACAGCAGTGTCCCACAAATATTAGTAGATTGGGTGACCAAATTATTATTAACGTCTTTCATTTTTGAAGGGATTATCATCCCCGGTAAAGTGATCCGCCAATCAACTAACAACCGGGTTGGACCTAAAAAGTCCCATGGCATTATCCAAAAAGAGAAGGGAGTTTCTCTCTCCTGATGTCCTGACCAACAATCCCCCAAATAAAACTGGTCTCTAACTCCATGGCTGTTTGTGGAACATTGCTGAATGTATACCGGTTGCCTCGTTTTACCCACAAACACAGTCAGGCACAGTATTGCCTGTGAAATGCTTTGTGACGTCCTCCGGACGTGAAAGGTGCTATGTCAAATGTAAGCATTAGCAGGTCACCCGGCACGTTAAATGGACAGATCCTTGTATCTGATATGGCAACTTTCATGTCAGGAGCGCGTCTTAAAATGATTCAGGATTTATAATAATTATAATAATAATAATCCTTGCATTTGATATAGCGCTTTTCACGTCTTCTGGACGTCCCAAAGCGCTTTACAGAATATTTTGTAAAGTGAAGTGACTGTAAAGTGTCGTGACGATCATGTACAGGGTGCCAAACTGCACTCAGCGAGGTCCCACAAACAGCCATGAAGTGAATGACCAACCGTACCCAGGCGACTGTTCAATTCCGGACAGTATTAGGCACAGGCTAACAAGAGCCAAGGTTTGCTGCCCCCAGAGTGTGCAGTGGGGTAACTGCTGGAGTCTAACCCGCTAAAACCACACGTAGCTTGTCATTGATATCACTGTCCGGCGAGCTTTCCCACTGCTTGTCCAGCTAGGACCACCCTACCCTACCCACTAGGGCTTCGGGTTGCAGACTCCCTGCTCCGAGTGACTGGTCTGCCTTACCAAGCTGGACTGGTCTGTCATCTGCCATAGTACCTGGGATGGGTGGGGGATGCTATGGTACCCAGGCTGGGGGGAAGGGGGTTGCTGTGGTACCCAGGCTGGGGGGGGGGGTGTGTGGGTTGCTATGGTACCCAGGCTGGGAGGAGGTGTGGGTTGCTATGGCACCCAGGCTGGGGGGGGGGGAGGGCCGGTTGCTGTGGTACCCAGGCTGGGGGGGGGGGTTGCTGTGGTACCCAGGCTGGGGGGGGGGGGGGTTGCTATGGTACCCAGGCTGGGGGGGGGGGTGGGTTGCTGTGGTACCAGGCTGGGGGGGGGGTTGCTATGGTACCCAGGCTGGAGGGGGTGTGGGTTGCTATGGTACCCAGGCGGGGGGGGGTTGCTATGGTACCCAGGCTGGGGGGGGTGTGGGTTGCTATGGTACCCAGGCTGGGGGGGTGTGGGTTGCTATGGTACCAGGCTGGGGGGGGGGGGTTGCTATGGTACCAGGCTGGGGGGGGGGGTTGCTATGGTACCCAGGCTGGGGGGGGGGGTTGCTATGGTACTCAGGCTGGGGGGGGGGGGGGTTGCTATGGTACCCAGGCTGGGAGGGGGGGTTGCTATGGTACCCAGGCTGGGGGGGGGGGGGGGGGGGTTGCTATGGTACTCGGGGCCTTTTCACTCACCTCAAAAACAAGAGACCGACAATCGTGCCGAGGCTGACGTGCGGTTGCGGAACTCGGGGCGGTGTTGGGGTGGGGGGGCGTCTCGGGGTGTTGGTGTGGGGGGGAGGGGGTCGGTGTGGGGGGGGGAGGGGGTCGGTGTGGGGGGGAGGGGCTCGGTGTGGGGGGGGAGGGGGTCGGTGTGGGGGGGGAGGGGGTCGGTGTAGCTGCTCGCGCGGCGCGGGGACCCGGCGCTTCACTCACTCACTCACTCACCAACATCTCGCGATATGATGTGTTGAAGCGTCGCGCAGGCGCAGTGCAGCCCCACCCCTGTCCGTGTAGAAGTGAAGCGTCGCGCAGGCGCAGTGCAGCCCACGTGTGTGTGTGTGTGTGTGTGAGTGAGTGAGTTAGGGAACGTCTCCAATGTATCAGGTTTAGGGAGTGTCTCCAACGTGTGAGTTCAATCAGGGCGCAGATTTTCTTGGTTCACCATTGCTTGAGAGTACCCAAACCAATCTGAGAATTCCACACCCATCCCACCTACGCGTGGAAACCCCCCAGAGACAGACTGTCGGAATGCGATGCTCTCGCGCTCTCTCCCTCCCTGGGTGGGGTGGGGTGGGGGGTGGGGGAGGCATCCTGTTCACCTCATTCCGGACGGCGTGAGCGCAGGTTGTCAAAGACGTGGGGACGCCCAGCGTGTGCTTTGCTGGGGGTCTACCTGCCGGGAGTCTAACCAGCTCTCACACCACGGAGTGGACACAGTGGTACTGCAAGCCGCCGCGTTTCGCCCACAGATATACAGTCACTTCACTTTACGGTGTATTCTGTGAAGCGCTTCGGCAGGTCGAGAAGACGTGAAAAGCGCTGTATCAAATGCGAGGATTATTATTATTGTTGTTATTGGTCGCTGTGTTCACGGCAGGGATTTCCGATGCTGCCTGTCTACAAAGGCTCGTGGAGTCCTGCAGCTCGGTGGTTAGAGCGCTCGCTTTGCAAGCGAGAGACCCGAGTTCAATTCCCGGCAGAGGGCGAAACCTTGGGCAAGTTTCCTTACTCCACACAGAGCCTAATAATATTCCCTCCAAAACCCAAAACAATAATAAAATTGGTCATTTTCAATCTACGATTGTTTGTGGGACATTGCTGTGCGCAATTGGCTGCCGCGTTCACCCACAAATATACAGTCAATTCACTTTACAGTGTGTTCTGTGAAGCGCTTTGGGACGTCCTCCCGACGTGAAAAGCGCTATATCAAATGCAAGGATTATTATTATTATTGTTAAAGAACAATTAATAATAATAATAATGATAATAATAATAAAAGTCCTTGCATTTGATAAAGCAACTTATCACGTCTTCGAGCCGTCTCAAAGCGCTTTACAGGTTATACTGTAAAGTGAATTGACTGTATCTTGTGGGTGAAACGCACCCACAAAATTGGTTCATAAGCTACGTCAGCTTATAAAGAACTGGAAAATCTTGTAGAAAATTAGATTCCAAATTGAGTGAATCTTTAAAAAAAAGGAACCTGTATTTTGCAGGTACAATTACATATGTGCCGGTAATTGAGCTTGCAATAAGTACAGGCATGTATAGGATGTCTACAAAATCCTGTTACCCCATCCTGTTACGAAACAAAGGGATATGAGACTACGGAGGAGCTGAAGCTATCTGTCAGAGGTGCATTTCGCTTCCACACTCCATCCATATTACAGAAGTTGTGGCACTGAACACGGCGCCGGATCATTATCTGCCATGAAAATGATGGCACTCACTCACTCACTCACTCACTCAATCCCATCCTCTGGATGTCTAAATACAGTTAAACACTTGTATTGAATGCAATTAAGTACTTCTAAACACAGTTATCATCATTCTTCCACATATCTCCGTTGTTAGTCAACGCACTGTAGAGAGAGAGAAATGGGGGTAACAGGACTTTCTGGAGACCTGATACAGGACAAGTGTATCTTACCATGCTGTTCAATAATGGCAAAGACTCCTTGGTTTTATTATAACGATAATAAAATTCCCTCTTTACTGTCCAATGTCTTACAAAACAACAACAACAAACAATATATTACATTTGTAAAGCCCCTTTCACGTCGGGAGGAAGTCCCAAGGCGCTGGACAGTCAGGGATTTGCACCAGAGCTGGGGGTTGCAATTAGGAGGGGTGGAGGGCGGCCGAACGCGTGGTCAAAGAGGAGGGTCTTGAGGGAGACAAACAAGGGAACAGGACGAAGGGACTGTGGGGTGGCAACAACGAAAACAACAACAAATTGCGTTTATATAGCCCCTTTCCATTCAGGAGGACGTCCCAAGCCACTTCAACTCAGATAATAATAATAATAATAATCCTTGCATTTGATATAGCGCTTTTCACGTCGGGAGGACGTCACAAAGCGCTTCACAGAATAAACTGCAAAGTGAATTGACTGTATATTTGTGGGCGAACCCGGCAGCCAATTGCGCACAGCAATGTCCCACAAACAGTCGTGGATTGAAAGTGACCAATTTATTATTGTTTTTGGTTTTGGAGGGAATATTATTAGGCTCTGTGTGGAGTAAGGAAACTTGCCCAAGGTTTCGCCCTCTGCCTGGGATTGAACTCAGGTCTCTCGCTTGCAAAGCGAGTGCTCTAACCGCTGAGCTACAGGACTCCACATAAGAGAAGCCTGAAGGAAGCTTTACGTATGTACAGTATTTACACTGTGGTCTCTGGGTTACATGATCTTTTCCCGGGGTGTATGTTGGCGTGGGGTGGGAAGACACTGGATTTTGGATGAGCTTGTGGCAGTATCCCGCTTCTCTGCTCTCCTCTTTCTGATCCATCAGTGGGAGGGAGTCGCTGAAGCCAATATTAGAACCAATAATCCAATGTCTTACAAAATAACAACAAAAACAAATTGCAAACAGACCAATATTCACAACTTGACCTTATTGCCCATTGCTGCACAAATCAGTGCCTAGACCTGACGCTGGGGACAATAGCTTGGGGACCAATTGTGGTCCTGTAGCTTAGTGGTTAAAGGACTCCCCTCATAAGCGAGAGGACCTGGGTTCAATTCCCGGGAAGGGCAAAACGTTGGGCAAATTTCCTTACTCCACACACCTCTGTTGATAGATTTTTGGTAGGTCAGGATATAAAGGGATATGGGGAGAAAGCAGGAAATTTGAATTGAAAAGATTAGTTGAGGTACAGATCAACCATGATCTAATTAAATGGCAGAACAGGCTCAAAGGGCTGAATGGCCTACTCCTGTTCCTATGTTCCTATGTTTAGCTAGCAGTAAGTAGCATCCTGGTTGTTAGTCGATTGCTGGATGGCTTTTCTGGGGATAATAATCCCTCTAAATTTAAATTTTCTTAAAAAAATGAAAAATAATCATTTGGTCACTCAATCCACGACTGTGTGTGGGACACTGCTCCGCGCCATTGACTGCTGCGTTTCGTCCACAAAATACAGAGTCAATTCACTTTACAGTATATTCTGTGAAGTGCTTCGTCTCAAAGACGTGATAAGGTGCTATATCAAATGCAAAGATTATTATTATTACTATTATTCAGCCTATTGATTTTCCAATCAAACTCATAGGTTCATGAATGTTTCTTATCAGTTTAATTTAATCCCTATTTCTCTGTCTCTCTCTCCACACCTCTTTAACACTCAAGTCTCTCAAGGTACTTCCCAAAACATCTCTCCATCTCCCTTTCAAACAGCTCCACTGATGCCAGTGTATCCGGATTATCTGTAACTTAATAATAATAATAATAATAATAATCCTTGTAAAAGGAAACATGCCCAAAGTTTCGCCCTGCCCGGGAATGAAACCCAGGTTCTCTCACTTGTGAGATGACTGCTCTAACCACAAAGCTACAGGACTCCACATACCTTAAATCAGTGTCTGTTGGGGAAGAGTGTGGAGGGTCTCTGTAAGATACATCGTAGTGCGAGAGGTGCTGTTGGGCACCACTGTACAGCAGGGCCAAGAGAGGAGAGAGAGCGAGATGGGGAAATTAATAATAATAATCCTTGCATTTGTTCTAGCACATCATCGAGACGTCTCAAAGTGCTACACAGACACAGCATATACTGCAAAGTAGATTAATTGTATTTTGTGAACAAAACCCAGCAGCCAGTTTGCACACAGCAGCGTCCCACAAACAACCAAGGAGCGAGTGACCAATTTCATTTGGGGGATTGTTGGCCAGGACACTGAGAGAGAAAAACTCCCTTCTCTTTTCCAATTGCACCAGCTTAGACTATGTGATTCCAAGTCCAGACAAGGGGCTTGAATCCACAACCTTCTGACTGAGAGGCGAGAGCGCTACCGCTGAGCCCGGCTGACACACAATTGCGACAGAGCTGCCAGGATCGGATGAGGTCCTTGTTCTTTCAGATGTGGATCTGGTCCTCAAAGAGTGAGAGAAGCAGGAGTAAGACCCAGCCCAGCACCAGGCCCACATTCTGTAGAAAAAACAACAGCCAGGGATTGCTGTCTTTCGCTCGCATCATCTCAGGCAGCTGCAGGGAAAAAATGAGGCACTGTCAAATTCCAGAGAGGACCCTGAATGGAGAATTAGAATACAGTAATAATCCTCAGATTCGATATCAAGTCACTGAGACGTCTCAAAGCGCTCCAGGATTTACCATAAATTGCAGTGACGGTGTATTTTGTGAGCGAACAATTTGCACACAGCAATGTCCCACCAACAGCCATTGAGCAAGTGACTAATTTTATTTCGGGGATTGTCAGCCGGGACATTGGAAGAGAAAAACTGTCTTCTCTTTGTGAACGGTACAATGGGATTTTTAACATCCACCTGAAAACGTAGCAGGAACCTTGGTTTAACGTCTCATCCAAAGGACGGCACCTACGACAATGCATTGAACCCCCAACACTGCATTGAAGTGTCAGCTTAGACTATGTGATTCCAAGTCCCAATGTGGGGACCTCAACTCACAACTTTCTGACTAAGAATCGAGGGTGCTACCACTGAGCCAGGCTGACGTAGGCTGAATCGAGTGCCCGGTCCAGGCTGTTGCTCCTCCACAGTGCTAGTGATGGGAGGGGGAAAGTGCTCCATAGTCAGAGGCACCACGAAATTAAAGCAGGTTCCTGTCTGCTTGGGTCGACGATAAAGTTTCTATTGAAAGAGAAAAGCAAGTTTCTCCTGGTGTTTAACAATCAGCCACGACGTGAATGATCCTAGAAGTTCATCCAGCAGGATACTGGGAGAGAGAAAATCCTTTCTCTTTTGCAGTAATAATAATAATAATCCTTGCATTTGATATAGCGCCTTATCATATGTCCGAGATGTCTCAATGCGCTTCAGAGAATAGACTGTAAAGTGAATTGACTGTATATTTTGCGGGCGAAACACAGCAGCCAATTGCGCACGGCAGTGTCCCACAAACATTCGGGGATTGAGTGAAACAAACTATTATCATTTGTATTTATTTAGAAGTAACTATTATCCCTGGAAAAGTGATCCATCAATCGATTATCAACCGGGTTCCTACTTAATGCTAGGTAAACAGAGGCGTGTGGAGTAAGGAGACTTGCGAACCAGGGTCCTCTCGCTTGCAAGTGCTGTAACCTCTACAACAAGCTTCGGAGCCGGAGGTCTAAGTGCGACCAGCTAAGCCAGGACGATGGATCTTACCATATCTACCAGGGCCACGTACAGGAAGAGCCCTGTAGTGACCGTGAATATCCATTGCTGAACCATAGGATCCGTGGCAACTCCCAGTGCGATGTATAGGCCAATGAAGGCGGTCATGGCACTCCCAAGGTTCATCAGCATGGCCCTCTTTATAGACACACCTGCGTGCAGCAGGACTGCAAAGTCACCTACAGTGCGGATGGCGACAACATTGTTAAGACTATGGGTTAAGATTAGGTAAGCGATGTTTAAGATGGTTAAGGGGTGGTTAAGATTAGGTACAATATAAAATTACATTTGCACAGTGCCTCTCACATCGGGAGGAGGTTCCAAGGCGCTGGACAGTCAGGAATTTGAACCCGAGCTAGTGGTTGGGATCAGGGAGCGTGGAGGGCAGAGAGGGTAAGGGTAGGAGGGTGACCGAAGGCGCGGACGAAAAGGAGGGTCTTGAGATGTGCCTTGAAGGAGGCAAAGGAGGGGGCGAGTTGAAGGGACTGTAGGTTGGAGTTCCAAAGGGTGGGGGCAGGGAGGCTGAAGGCCTGACCACCGATACTGGGGTGAGCCGGGCGGGGATCGGGGATCAGGCGGAGCCTGCTGACCAGAGGGAGCGTACAGGTTGTTATGGGGTTAGCAGGTCATCGAGTGGGTGAAATGCAGCAAAACAGTGTCCCACAAACCATTGTGGATTGAGCGTTTGTTATTAGTATTATTAGTGACTGTGGTGGTCACAACAGTCACTAGACTTCATAATAATGTCTTTGGAAATATCAGGGACCAGGTGTAAGGGTGTATGGGGGGGGGGGTGTGGTGGGGTGGGGTGGGGGGGGGGGGCGAAGCTGAGATGCAGAGGAAAATCCTTACCCATTTCGTGAGGCAGTTCATGGCAGAAAACTGCAGTCGCTGTACCAAGTCCAGCCTTCCAGGACATAGAGAAGGCGGCTCCTATAGCCAACCCATCCGCAAAATTGTGGATCCCGTCACCTATAACAATCATGTACGGTAGCAATCGCAGCTCTGTGGAGCAAAGGAAAAAACAGAGGAGACAAAAATATCAAATAACATGGACAGTTCAATACGATTCACATTTATACAGCGCCTTTCATGCCGTGAGGACATCTCAAAGCCCTTTGGTCCCTTAACAACAACAACAACAACAACAAGATTCCATTTATAGAGCGCCTTTCACGTCGGGAGGACTTCCCAAGGCGCTGGACAGTTGGGTCAGGACCCGAGCAGGGGGGAAATGGTCAGGGTGAGGGGAGGGAAGGGAGGGAGCGAGGAGGGGGTAGAGAGTCGAGAGGGGAGCTGAAGGCTGAAGGTCAAAGAGAAAGGTCTTGAGACCGGCCTTAAAGGAGGAAAGGAGGAGGTGGCGAAGGCACTGGGGGATGGAGTTCCAGAGCTTCGGGGCTGAGAGGCTGAAGGCCCGACCACCGATGGTGGGACGGGGGATGTGGAGCAGACCGGAGCCAGAGGAACGGAGGGTACGGGCAGGTAGGTAGGGGGATAGTAGGTCGGAGAGGTAGGAGGGAGCGAGGCCGTGAATGGCCTTGTAGGTGAGGGTGAGGATCTTGAATTCGAAATTCACTCAATATTAATAATAATCCTTGCATTTGATACAGCGCCTTATCAGGTCTTCAAAACATCTCAAAGCGCTTCACAGGATACCAGGATACAATGTGACTGTATATTTTTGTGGGAGAAGCCAATTGATCACAGTAGCATCTCACAAACTTTTTTTTTTGAATGGATTATTGTCCCTGGAAAAGCGATTCGCCAATTGACTAACAACCGGGTTCCTACTCACTGCTAAGCAAGCAGAGGCCTGTGGAGTAAGGAAACTTGGTCCTCTCTCTTGCGAGGCGAGTGCTCTAACCACTAAGCTAATGTTTTTGAAGCATTCTGAAGCTCAACCCATTATTGCTGAGGATTGAAGCAAGATCTTTAACTAACCTTTACTCGTGCGTTGCTTAATCTCAGAATCCAGGGGCATCTCTGAGGTCACCTAGACATGAAGATGTTTGAACACGTGTTAGATCTGGTCTCAACAACAACAATTTGTAACTATGCAGCGCCTTTCATACAGAAGAAGATAATAATAATTCTTTCGATTTTGATTTGTTGTAGCACGTCGTTGAGACACCTGAAAGCGCTTCACAGGATTTCCTGTAAAGTGGATTGACCGTGTATGTTGTGGGCAGAACATTGCAGCCAATTGCGCACAGCAGTGTCCGCACAAACAGTCATGGATTGAATGACCATATGTTTTTTTTAGAGGGATTATTACCCCTGGATAGCAATCAACCAATCGACTGTTGACTGCAACCATATTCCTACTTACTGCTAGGTAAACAGAGGCGTGTGGAGTAAGGAAACTTGTCTAAGGTTACACCCTGCCTGGGAACCAAACCCGGGTCCTCTCGCTTGCTAACCACAGGGTTACGGGAGTCTACAACTGTGTTGACTTACTTTGTTTGGAAAACAGAAAGGAAATCAAGAGAGAGGGAGAAGAAGAAAGAACAAGAGAGGCATGAGGCAAGAAAGGCATAAGAGAAAAAGAAGACGTGGGGAATGAACGGGAAATAAAAGGGGTTGGTGTCCTCACCAGGTCCACCTGGGACATTGTTTGATGCTTGTTCTGCTCGTCCTTGAATGACTGGATTGCCAGCACGTGGTCACAGTGATGCCCGTCATCTTCCTCCTGCCAGCAAAACAACAAGGACAAGCTTGTCACAACGCACCTCACAGCCCTCTGGCCGCAAGATCGATTTTGACCACTTCACGTCTGGAATGCGCTGCCTGAAAGGCTGGTGGAAACAGAGTCAATAACAACTTTCAAAAGGGATAGGTACTTGAAAAGCAAACATTTTAAAGGATGTGGACAGAAGAGCGGGGGAGTGGGACCGATTGCGTAGCTCTTCCAAAGAGCCGGCACAGGCACAATGGGCTGAATGGCCTCCTTCTCTTCTGTAAGATTCCATGATTCTAAGATTTAGATCTTAAACTTAGCTCCTGGAACTTTCTGGAACTCCATCCCGGAGCTCCTCCGATTCGCCCTGTCCTTTACCTCCTTCAAGGCCCATCTCAAGATCCTCCTCTTCGACCAAGCCTTCGGTCACCCTCCTACCCCTAAATTCCCTGCCCTCCACCCCACTTGATCTCAACCACCTCCTTGGATGTAAATCCTTGACAGTCCAGCGCCTTGGGACGTCCTCCCACACCACTACCCGCTGCCTCCGCTCAACTGGCTCCGGCCTCCTCCTTATCCCCTGGACTCTCCGGCCCACCATTGGCGACTGTGCTTTCAGCCACAACTCCCAAAGTTGTGGCACTCTCTCCCTCGTTTCCTTTGCCTTGCCCACCCCCTTCCACCATCTTCAGGTCATGCTTTAGGACCTTCCTCATTGACTGTGTTTACGGTCATCTTCCCCCTCCTTCTGTTTCCACCACTGTTAAGTGGTCCAAGAGGCCGTCCGGCGTGAAGGGCGCTAAATAAATGCAAGTTATTGTTGTTGTATTGTACCCCAGTACAAGGTAAGCTTCGTCTGTTTCAGAGTTAGCGCTGACATTAACTATTGACCACTAAGTGGCAGTGCATCCCTCCCAGAGACCTGAAGCCAATGAGAAATAACAAAAATCCATGCATTCGATGTTGCGCCTTACCACGTCATTGAGACGCCTCAAAGCGCTTCACAGGATATACTGTATAGTGGATTTACTGTGTATTTTGTGGGCAAAATGCAGCAGCCGATGGCGGACAGTGGTGTCCCCCAAACAGAGGTGGATTGAGTGACCACATTTTTTAGTGGGGGTGTTATTAAACGTTAAATCAAACAAAACATGGAGGATCTGGGGAACATTTTTGGAGGGGTCAGCCGGGTGTCTGACACACATGGAAACCCATCACCACGTTTAAGAGTCTCCAAACCAAGTTGAGATTTCTATGCATCCCGCCTACACATGGAAATCCCAGAGATAGTTTGTTGGAATGCAATGAGCTCTCTCTCTCTCTCTCTCTCTGGAGGGAAGCATCCTGCTTACCTAATTCCTAAAGTATTAGGCGCAGGTTGGCAAGAGCCTTGGTGGGACCCAGAGTGTGCGTTGGGGGTAACTGCTGGAGCCTAAGCAGCTAAAACCGCACATAACTTGCCATTGATATTGCTGTCTACAGGAAGTTGTTTGGTGTAAGAAATTTTGTGTTGGAGCTGAGGAAGCCCAAATCTTACCTCGCCGTCTCCCATCAGGATGCCGAACACGCGCTCCATCACGAAGAACATGTAGATGCCTCCGAGAACAGCGAGCAGTTTCCAGACGTGGATAGAGTCCTCGGAGTGGCTGTGATCCATGTCTGGCGCGTCACTGTGGAGATTCAGGAACTGGCACAAGGACACAAGCCATCATTGTTATAACCACAACAAGTTGCATTTACACCGCGTATTTCACGTCGGGAGGACGCCCCAAGGCGCTGGACGGTCAGAGTTTGGACCCAAGCAGGGGGTTGGGGTGAGGAGGGCAGCGGGATGAAGTGACTGTGGGATGGAGTTCCAAAGAGTGGGGGCAGAGAGGTTGAAGGCCCGACCTCTGATGTCGCGGTTGCTCACCGATGGGATGAGATGCAGCACAGCGTCACCACTCAGTGAGCCTACAGCCAGGCTGATGAAGAGCTGGATAACGTATTGATACGCGTTGCCGCAGGTAGTGAAGGCAACGATCACAATGCCGAACACGGCAGCCAGGCTCACCAGCAGTGTCGCAACAGTGCCGTAAATATATTCTGTGGAGAGAGAGAGAGAGAGCAAGAGAGAGTTTTTTTTTATGGGCGCTCAGCCGGGTGTCTGACACATGCGGAAACCCATCACCGTCGCTTAAGAGTCTCCAAACCAAGCTGAGAATTCCATGTATCCCACTTACGTATGGAAATCCCAGAGATAGATTGTTGGAATGGGATGCGCTCTCTCCCTCTCTCCTTGGAGGGACGCATCCTGTTTACCTAATCCCGGAAAGTGTTAGACGCAGGTTGGCAAGAGCCAAGGCTCGGGGGGACCCTAGATTGTGCGTTGGGGTAACTGCTGGAGTCTTAACCAGCTAAAGCCGCCCAGCTTGCCATTGATATTGCTGTCCGGCCAGTCTCTCACGCTACTTGTCCAGCTCGGACCGCCCTATCCGTTAGGGCTTTGGCTTGCAGGGTTAACAGGAGATGAGGGGGATGACTCCCTGCTCCCCCACCCCCACCCACACCCCCCACAGAGAGAGAAAGAGCAAACATAAGACCAAAAAGTTTCTTCACGAAATTTTAATTCAAACCCTAAAGCAGTGGAATCGGGCGAGGATGGGGATGATAGGGTCACGGAGCCTGGTGCGGGAGAAGATATTACACGCAAGACCTTCGTACTTTCTGCTGTGGTCAGCTGATCCTTTGGGTGCTCTGGGCTTGGACGCAGAGAGCAGGCCCCGCTCAGCAGTTGCTGGATCAAGGCAGGGCTCAGCTGAACAAATTGACTGCGAGAGATTGTGCCATTGATGGGGATCTGGTAGATCTCCAGCAGATCACTGGAGGTGAAGCACGTCTGCAACGAGAAGGACCAAGGTCAGGTCAGTTCTCACTCACTCCACATCCCACCCCAATAAGTTTCACCCCAATACGTTCCAGAATATTAATAATAATATTATAATAGCATTTGAGACAGCCCTTTATCAGTCAAGCTTATCAGTCGAGAAATCTCAACGACACGATAAGGTGCTATTTCAAATGCAAGGATTATTATCATGATGATTACAAAGGACGGGACGTACTGTGTCCCATATGCTGCTGTTGTCTTGGACTTGGTTCCTCTGCTCCAGGCTTCTCACTGACAGGAGCTGCTCGTGGGCCCCACCCGTGCCCAGGCCAATGCGACTCATCAGCTCGTCCAGATCTGTAAGGTGGACACGTTGATTCTTTCAGGGATGGGACAGAAGGTCACTGAGATTACGGTAACAGTTTGTAACCACTTTCTTGTTCCACACATCAATAGATCCCTGCCATGACCTCAACCCAAAGCTCCCTCCCTCTACACTGTCCGTCCACGCTCCCAAATCAGGGTTAGAGACACAGAAAAGCTGTCTCTACACTGTCCGTCCACACTCCCTGGGTTAGAGAGACAGTAAAGTTCCCTCCACCAGACCTGCTCTGACAACAAAATATAGCCATGCAGGGGGTCAGGTTGCCAGAGATACCACTTCCTGTGGGATCAAACCCAATTGCTCTCGCTCGGGAGACGAGTGCTCTAACCACTATGCGACAGGACGCCACAATAATTTTCAGGCCCTGATATGGCCTCCCTGCACAGCGAGGCCTGCACAGCGAACAGTGTGGATGTAAATGTACCCGCTGCCGTGATATTCTCTGACTCGTTCTGGAAAGCGTGGAAGATGTAATCCAGGAAGTACTCAGGTGCCAACTGAGGGAGCAGACAGTGGCCCTGCAGCACGTGGTACAGGAGGACGGCGGAAAAGTGAGCCACGTCACGTTCAGTCACAGCTCCCGAACCCAGGCCGCTCTCCACCAAAATCTGCTTCACGTCCACACAGTCCTACAGGACAGAGAGCGAGAGAGAGAGGGGGTGGGGGGGAGAGAGAGAAAGAGAGTGCATTAACCGCAACATCTACACGACACAGGGCATTCACAAAGTCCTGTTAATGTCTCATCCGAAGATGCGTGGCACGTTCACGCTGGAGGAAGAGAAGGTTGAGGGGCGATATGATTACGCTCTTTAAGATTCTGAAGGGCCTTTATAACTTAGACCCACGAGAAGCTGTTTTATCTTGTGCTGAACAGTAGAACCAGAGGGCACGGCCTGCGATTGAGGCGGGGGTGGGGGGGGGGTAAATTCAGAACAAATCTGCGGAAACACTACCCCAGCGAGCGAGTTGTAAACTTATGGAAGGGGCTCCCGAGGGAGACAGGCGGTGGAAGCAGAAAGTGTTGTTTGTTTCCAGAACAAATGAGATCGATTTCCGCTAGAAAATAATATCTCTGGGTTACAGTATATAGTTTGGGACACGACACGTCAAGCGACTGCCAGGATGGTGGGAGGCGAACGAGATGGACCGTGGTCCTCTTTCGCCAGCAAATTGTCATGTTCTTATGACCTGTTCTCCACCACCACCCCCCCCCCCCCGCCCCCGTTCGTTTGTCACGCAATGAATTTATTTTCTGCTGCAGATGAGGCGAGTGTAACAATGCGTAACCAGTAACTTCCTCCTCACCGACTCCATCCGTGTCACTGAAGATGTGGCAGGGAACATGGAGACGGATCATTATCTGCTATGAAAATGATGGCGCTCACACACACCGATCCTCTGGACGTCTAAATACAGTCAAACACTTGTACTGAATACAATTAAGTACTTCTAAACACAATTATCATCATTCTTCCACAGGTTTCAGCTGTTGCTCAGTGCGCTGAAAGAAAAATGGTCTCCTTCTGTGCTGTAATAGTCTATGATGCTATGATCTATGCGCCGCTATTGCTCTGACTCTGCAAGTTTGCAGTCCGATTGAGGTGTGTTAATCCAAGGCCAGCTGCCAGCACCCTGCAAACCATGATACACAATAAAACAATGATCCTTACGTTTCATACAGCGCCTTATCACCTCTTCCAGGCATCTCAAGGCGTCCCACAGCATTTATTGCAAAATGCAATCACTGTGTTAATTGTGGGTGAATTGTGGCAGCAAATTGCACGCACAGCAATGTGACCCACAAACAGCCTCGCGGTGGCCAATTATACCTGGGGGATTGCTGGCCAGGACACTGGGAGAGAAACTGCCTTTTAACATCAACTGGGCACAGAAGGGAGTTAGGTCTAACATCTCATCCGAAGGACGTCACCTTCTGACAATGCAACATATCCGCAGCACTGCGTTGAAGCGTCAGCCTACCCCACAAAACACAGTCACTACCCTTTACATGTACATCCAGCGAAGCGCTTTGCGACGTCTCGGCGAGGATTATTATTAATAATATTAATATTATCATTGAATACAAGCCGTTGTTAATATTACCTGGTCTTTATCCTGCGCCAGGTAGTTCCTCTCCACCTCCTGCACCACGGCTGCCAGAGGACACGAGCGGGGACTGAGCTGCTTGCCGGGCTGGGTGGCCAGGCTGGCTCGGAAGGTCCTGCTGACCTCCGGCCATGTGCCCGCCCCGATAGTCCTGCAGGCGCCCTGGGGGTCCGTCAGCAGGTACAGGAGCCCCGGCCACACATGGGAAAGGTCTTCCAAGGTCAACGCAGCGTTAGCCTCAGTGCTGCTCCTCCCGGCCAAGCCGAATACGTCACTCGCTGAGACGCACTGAGGTCAAACAACAACAACAACAACAGCATGTAGCTGAGGAGTCCTGTAGCTCAGTGGTTTTGAGCTCTCACCTTGCAAGCGAGAGGACCTGAGTTTGATTCCCGAGCAGGACGAAGCATTAGGTAAGTTTCCTTACTCCGCACGCCCCTGTTTACCCACCAGTAAGTAACTTACCCGGGCAAGTTAGTTGATTGGCGGATGGCTTCAAAAATAAGAACAAATAAATACATTTTTGTACCAAACTAATAGTTTGGTCACTCAGTCCACGACTGTTTGTGGGACATTGCTGTACTGGTGTAAAGGAGGTAGGGAGGTTCGTGTGTGTGAGCTGAAAGTCCTGACGTGGGGTTTGGACCCACAATCTTCTGACCCAGGACTTTAGATCTGGATGGCGAGTGGAGGAGTGGGGGTGGGGGGTGTTGGGGTGGCGGGTGTCAGGTAGGTGAGATCCATCGCCATTGCCATTTGAAGCTAAAACCGAGATTACGGACTAAAATAACAACAACAAAATTGCAGGGAGGGTCGGGGTAGGATGGTGGCCGAAGGCACGGCCAAAGAGGAGGATCTTGAGATGGGCCTTGATGGAGGCAAAGGATGGGGCGAGAATGGAATTCCAGATGATTGGGGACAGAAAGGCTGAAGATAATATAATCTTTGCATTTGATACAGGTCCTTATCCCTTCTTCGAGACGTCTCAAAGCACTTCACGGAACATACTGTGAAGTGAAATTGACCGTATATTTTCGGGCGCAACACGGCAGCCAATTGCGCACAGCAGCATCCCACACAAACAGTTCTGCATTGGAGTGACCAACTTATTATTTTTTTAAGGAATTATTACCCCCTGGAAAAGCGATCCGCCAATCGAGTAACAACCGGGTTCCGACTCACTGCTAGGTAGACGGGTGGAGTAAGGTGGCCGTGCCTTCAGCCACTAAGCCCCCAAACTCTGGAACTTTCTCCCTCAATCTTTCCGCCTGGCCCCCTCTCTCCGTCTTTCAAATCCCGCCTAACGGTCACCTCCACCCCCCCCCCCCCTTCCCCCTGGCTCGGGGTCTGACTCCGCCACCGCCAAGCGCTCCGGGACGCTACCCCGGGTCAAGGCGACTTATATCAATACAAGTTGTCGTTGCCCTAAGGTTTCGCCCCGGCTGGGAATCGAACCCGGGTCCTCTCGCTGGCGAGGCGAGCGTGCTGACCACTACGCTAGAGGACTTCCCCGTCTTGTGGGCTGTGTGCATACGGAGATACCTGGAGAGGGCAGTGCTGTGCTCCCTCGCTCAGCCTGCGCTGGGAGCTGCAGCGGCTGGGTCTGTGCCCGGCACAGACAGGCTTTACCTTTCCACACGACACTCCGCGACACTGCACACGTTCCTGGAACAGGTGTATTAAAGAGGTCACGGCGGCTGGGCTCAGCGTCTCTCCTCCCGGCTCCAGCACGCGGACCATCGTGGTGAGGATCTCCTGCTCGGAGAGGAAGCCGGCGGTCCCCTCCCCTTCCCCCCCGTAGCCCCCCACCCCCAGCGCCAGCCAGAAGAAGGGCAGCAAAAGTGAGCTCACGCCGCACATGGCCCGCCCGCTGAGCTTTCCACAGAGCAGGTCACAGGCACAAACAATGTTGTTCATATGTGAGTGTTTGCGATCACGTCTAGTCTGTCCCCAGTGAAGTGTTCTCCGTTCCGTTCGTCCCGCAGGGCAATGAATACCTTATATGTTAGCGGGTGCCATATCAGGATTGGTTGCTCAGCAATGTGATAAGGAACGCGCTAATCCAGCCAGGCAGACAGACAGACAGACAGACAGACACACAGACAGACCATGGCAGAATTCCCTGGTGCACACATACATACCCACACACACACATACTCGCTCGCTCGCTCACTCACTCGCTCGGTCGCCCGCCCGCCCACCCACCCGTTCAACCACCCACCACCCAATTATTATTATTCCCATCACGTTTCCCCATTTCCCCTCCCCTTCTCCTCTTCGCTCCTCTCCCCGCGCACTCTCTCCCTCGCTCACTCACTCTGGACTTTTTAATGTTAAATCTAAAGAAAACAGTCTTGCTGAGGCCTCCCCTCCCCCACACCCGACCTTGCCTTCAAGCCCATGGTCACCTGCCTTCCTTTTAATAAATTATGCTGAACAAACAGTTTGTAAGGTTATTGCTGATAAAGCGTTCGGCATATGCAAAAAGCCGCAATCTGTGCCGTTCCCTCCTGGCTCCAAGCACCTGTTTCATCATCATAATAATAACAATAATAATAATAATTCTTGCATTTGATATAATGCCTCATCACGTCTTCGAGACGTCTCAAAACGCTTCGCAGGATATACTGTCAAGTGGATTGACTGTATATTTTGGGGGCGAAACGTGAGAGCCAATTGCGCACAACAGCGTCCCAACAAGCTCTGGGGATTCCCTGCCCCCCCTAGTGACTGGTCTGCCCTTCCTGGTCCTGCCGATGAGCCAGGCCGGGCTGTGCTGTCGTCAGCAGTGAGTGCCCTGGAATACTGCAAACCCAGACTAGAAATCGTCACAGAGGGTTGGCTCGATCCCGACGTCCCCTTGCCAGGCGTGCCACCTTGGAGTCAGTTCAGCTCCAAGGAGACCCTTCTTACCTCCCCTCACCCCAAGGAGGATAGGTTAATAAATCAACGTGTTATCACATCCGTTGTGTAACTTTGCCTTTTACACCCACTAATCCTGGGTGTGATTAGTAACAGCACATTGATTTTGAAGGTCATTTCCTGGTGCACATCAGCCTTTCACCTCCCACCACCATAAAGCAATCGAATTTTCCATGTCTCCATATCTCACCTCCCTGATCAGCAAACAGCCCCACGAGAGGAAAGGGAATCCTACCACTCAACTACTGTTAAACCTGCAAGCCAAAGCGCTAATGGATTGGGTGTTCCTAGCTGGACAAGCGGTGGGAAAGCCGGCCAGACAACGTTCTCAATGTGGTTTTAGCTGGTTAGACTCCCAACAGTTACCCAGACGCATACCCTGGGGTTCCCAAGCCTTGGCTCTTGCCAACCTGCGCCTAACAATTTCCGGAATTAGGTAAACAGGATGCGTCCCTCCAGGAAGCGAGCGAGTGCATGTTTTCATCATCAGAATAAGAATAAGAATGAACCTTGCATTTGATGTAGCGCCTCCAGGAAGAGAGCGTGCACACCAAACCTCAGGCAAGGTGGATCGCTTTCCGCCGGTAATAATCCCCTCAATGCAAAAAAAGAAAAAATGCGCTCACTCAATCCACGGCTGTTTGTGGGACACTGCTGCGCGGAATTGGCTGCCGCATTTTGTACTGGCAGAAATGCAGTGGCAAAGGTGCTGATAGAGTTTAGCTATAAAAACCGTGAACTGCAGCCTTTATTCTCAGGCTCGGTTGGATATCAAACCTTCCCTTTATCTGGCGGTGGCTGAGCCAGCGAGGCGCACCCACGGCTTAGTCCACCCTGTACCTGCCTAAAAATAAAATAAAAACGCGGATTATACGCAATAATATTAGAAGATTGCGGGCAGCACGGGACTGCGGTCAGTCTCTGAGTCCAAAGGTTGAGGGTTTAAGTCTCACGTTGAGGCTCAAACTCATATAATCCAAGCCTCTGGAGCAGTGCTGTGGGGTAGATAGGAACAGGTCTAGGCCAATCAGCCCCTCAAACCTGTTCTGCCAGTGGAGTCCTGTAGCAGAGTGGTTAGCGTGGGTTCGATTCCCAGACAGACTGAAACGTTAGAGAAAGTTTCCTTACTCCAACGCAACTCTGTTTACCTCGCAGTATGTAGGAACCCAGTTGTTAGTCGATCGGTGGATCGCTTTTCCGGGGATAATTATTCCTTTTAAAAAAAAATGAAAGGTGCTCAAGATCTCATGGCACCTTCGGAAAAGATAAGGGAGTTTCTCTCTCTCTCGGTGTCCTGGCCAACAATTCCCCTGATAAAATTGGTCACTCAATCCACGGGACATTGGGAGAGAGAAACTATCGATTCTTTTCCGATACCGCCATTGGATCTTTAACATCCACCTGAACAGGGACCTTGGTTTAGTGTCTCACCTGAAGGACGGCACCTCCAACGATGTAACGACCTCCAGCGCCCCATTGGAGCGTCAGCTTAGACTACGTTGAGACGTCTCAAAACGTTTCATTTTACGGGGATATACGAGGGGGTTGGGGGGGAGGGGGTGGGTGAGGAGAGAGAGAGAGGGGGGGTTGAGGAGAGGTGGGGAGGTATGAGGAGAGAGAAGGCATGAGGAAAGAGAGAGGGTGACGGGGGATGAGGATTGACTTTGTATTTTGTGAGCGAAAGGCGATTGCCAGTTTGCGCACCAGGATTGTTGGCCAGGACACCGAGAGAGAGAGAGAGAGAGAGAGAGAGGGAGAGAGAAACTCCCATTTCTTTTCCAATAACGTCACGGGAGATCTTTAACGTCCACCTGAACAGGCAGATGGGACCTTGGTTTAACATCTCACATGAAAGACGGCACCTCCAACAGCCTCCTCCCCCCACCCCCCACCTCCACCCTCCGCCCCCCCCGGCACTGTGCTGGAGCGTCAGCTTAGACTACGTGATTCCAAGTCACAGGTTAGGCCTCAGCTGGAATATTGTGTCCGATTCTGGGCACTGCACGATAGGATGAATATCAAAGCCCTGAGAGAGTGCAGAGGTGATGTACCAGAATGGTACCAGGGATGAGGGACGTTAGTTATGTGGGGAGACGAGAGAAGCTGGGATTGTTCTCCTTGGAGCAGCGAAGGGTACGGGGAGATTTAATAGAGATATTCAAAATTATGAGGGGTTTTGATAGAGCAGACAGGGAGAAACTGTTTCCACTGGGAGGTGAGCTGGTAGCCAGAACCAGAGGGGAGATGAGGAGACATCTTTTTTTTTACACACACGCACGGGGGGTTGTTACGGTCTGGAATGCACTGCCTGAAAAGGCGGTGGAAACAGATTCAATAACAACTATCAAAAGTGAATTAGATAGGATATGGGGGAAAGAGCGGGGGAGTGGGACTGAGCTGGGTGGGTCTTCCAAGGAGCCGGCCCAGGCACAATGGGCCGAATGGCCTCCTTCTGTGCTGTAATGTTCTATGATTCTGTTCTATAAGTCCCGACGTGGGGTCTTGAACCCACAACCTTCTGATTCAGTGTCACAGAGGCTGTGTGTGATGCTGAGCTGAGCATTGGTTCCATCGGTACGAAAATTCCTCGCTTTCTTCGGGGGAGGGGTGGGTGGGGAGGTGGGGGAACGACGACACTGAGCCAGGGAGGGCAGAGGGGAGGTGGTGCGAGAGAGCGGCGTGCGGGCTGTGAGTGAGGGGTGTTGTGGAGGGAGACTATAGGGGGAGGCGGAGGGGGAAGGAGAGGGTGGTGGGGGTGGAGGTGTGAGGAGAGAGGGGTTGAGGAGAGAGAGGGGGAGGTGTGAAGAGATTGGGGGGGGTGAGTAGAGTGGGGGGTGAGGAGAGAGGGGGTGAGGAGAGAGGGAGGGGGGGAGGTGTGAGGAGAGAGGGGGTGTAAGGAGAGAGGAAGTGAGGAGAGAGGAAGGGGGGGAGGTGTGAGGAGAGAGGGGGGTGAGGAGAGAGGGAGGACGGGGTGAGGAGAGTGGGGGGGGGCGGAGGTGTGAGGAGAGGAACGAGGGGGGGGGTTGAGGGAGAGAGGAGGGCGGGGTGAGGAGAGAGAGGTGGGTGGGGTGGGGTGGGGTGGTGGGGGGGCTGTGTGTCAGCCCCCACTCTGTGCTCCCTGAGATGTTTAACACTTGGGCCATCACTTTACCCAAAACCGAGGATATTCTTCACAAGAAGCTGAAGATGAACCCGTATCATCCCTTCACCTGCAATCAGCCTAATGGTGAGGTGGGTCGGGTGGGCGGGGGGTGGTGGGGGGGGGGGTGCGGGGGGTTACAGAGAGGGTTAAACAATGGTGGGGATACAAGAACAGAAGCAGGTATCAGCCCAATGCTCTTTAATCACTGGGACGTTACTCCCGCTTGAGGGGGTGCTGTATAAATGCAAGTCGTTGTTATGGGTTTGACCCACTAAGTCAAGGGCTTTGAGCTCACAGTCGAGGCAGATGCTCCAGCACAGTGCTGGGGGTATGGGTGGATGTGGGAGGGGGGGGTGGGTGTGGTGGGGGCGCGGGGATGAGGAGGGTGGGGGGGGGAAGAAAGCACTGCACTGTCAGAGACGCCTCCTTCAGATGAGATGTTATAATAAAGATAATCCTTGCATCTGATTCAGAACCTCATCACGTCTTCGAGACGTCTCAAAGCGCTTGGCAGGATATGCTGTAAAGTGCAGTGACTGTGTGCTTTGTGGGCGAAACGCGGCAGCCAATTGCGCGCAGCAGCGTCCCCGCAAACAGCCGTGGATTGCGTGACACATTTTGTTTGGAAGGGATTATTACCCCTGGAAAGCGATCCTCCAATTGACTCACAACCGGGGTGACTACTGACTGCTAAGTGACCAGAGGCGTGTGGAGTAAGGAAACTTGCCCAACATTTCTCCCTGCCCAGGAATCGAACCCCCGGTCCTCTCGCTCGCGAGGCGGGTGGTCTAAACCGCTGAACTACGGGATTCCCAGGTTGCGTGGTTTGCGTGAAAGCCACTGTGTAAGCGCTGTGACTAACGTCGTGTTCTCTGTCTCTCCCTTTCTCTCGCTCTCCTTCTCTGCTCTGACACGATAGTCTTCGTGATGAGCTATGTTCACGCGGATTTGTGGAAAGGGCTGATTCTCTTCCTCATCGTTATTGTCGGATTCATTTTATACCGAGTGCACCTCACCCAGGTACACCCCCATCACAACGCTCCCCCGCCTGTATCCTCACCCAACTCTGTACCCCCCATCACACCAGTCCTCGTTAGGCTCCACTGGCTCCCCATCGCCGAATGGATCTCAATTCAAGATCCTCACGCTCGTTTTCAAATCCTTTCATGCCCTGACACTTCCCTACCTCTCCGACCTGCTTAACCCCCCCTCAACCCACAACCCGCTCAACTGGCTCCGACCTTCTGGGTGTCCCTTGTGCCCTTTGTTCCACCATTGGTGGCCGCACTTTCAGCCGCTAAGCCCCGAATCTCTGGAACCTTTTCCCCCCTCACCCTCCGCCTCGCCCCTTCCTTCCCCATCTTCGGGTCGCGCCTGAAGACCTTCCCATTCGCACGTGGCTACGGTCACCTCCCAGCTCGACGTCGCGCTCTCCCACTGTCAAGCGCTCTGGGGACGCTACGACCGTGTGAGGGGCGCCACGTCAATGCAAGTTGTTGTTGCTCGTACACTGTATCCGAAAATATCTCGCTAGGCCGCCTGTTCCATACATTTACCATTCGCTCGCTCACCGAAATGGTGTTTCCCAGATTAGTTGTGAATTTGGATTGATGTTGTTGTTCTTCTTCTTCTTCTTGCTGTTGTTGTTGTCGTTGTTGTAGGACCACCAACAGTTTTCTGGGTTCTTCATCTTGCTGCTCATCCTGGCTTTGTGGATGATCTTCTCCTCCATTGGCAAACGATACTTGGTGTTGGATATGAACATGGGGATGTACAAGTTTTACATCTCTGGCCACTTACATTTCCAGGGCCCACTGTATAATATCTACATCCGGCTCAAAGCCCAGAAGAATGGTAGGTAAAATAACGATAAATAATCCTTGCATTTCATACAGCGCCTTCTCACGTCTCAAAGCGCTTCACAAAATACGCCGCAAAGTGAATTGACTGTGCATTTTGTGGGCGAAACGCGGCAGCCAATTGCGCACGGCAGCGTCCCCACAAACCGTCGTGGATTGCAATGGGGGTTCCTACTTATTGCTAGGTAAACAGAGGCGTGTGGGGTAAGGTAACTTGCCTAACTTTTTGCCCTGCCTGGGAATTGAACCCAGATCCTCTCACTTGCAAGACGAATGCTCTAATCACTGAGCTACAGGACCTAACGCACTGGTCACTTGGAGCAAAGAGTCATCCCACTCAGCTCCTGTTAACCCTGCCAGCAAATCCCGAATGGGTAGGGTGGTCCTAGCTGGACAAGCAGTGGGAAAGCTTCCATACAGCGCTCTCAATGGCTAGCTGTGCGGTTTTAGCTGGTTAGACTCCAGCAGTTACCCCAACGCACACTCCGGGGTCCCCAAGCCTTGGCTCTCACTAACTTGCGCTGAATATTCTCAGGAATTAGGTGAGCGGGATGTGTTGCTCCAGGGTGAGAGAGAGAGAGAGAGAGAGAGTGTGTGTGTGGCCATTTCATTCCTTACACATGTGGGTCTGGTTTGGAGACTTGGGATCAGAGCAACCTGAACTGTATTCCCAGCGCATCCTTCTTTGAGACCAGGTCACATATTCACCTCAGCATCTGCCTGGCTCCAGCCTCCTGCATGTCCTTCTTGTCCTCCGATCCACCATTGGTGGCCACGCTTTAAGACACGACGCCGCGAAACTCTGGAGCACTTTTCCTCCATCCCTTTGCCTTGCCCCTTCCTTCCCCATCATCAGATCATGCCTGAAGACCTTTCTCTTTGACTGTGCCTAACGTCACCTCCCCTCTCCCTCTCCCCCCTGGCTCGGGGTCGTGCTCCGTCACTTTCAAGCGCTCCAGGACGTCACCCGCTATATAAATGCAAGTTGTTGTTGTTGAGGTGGGGTGGAATTGCTGGGGTGTAACCTGAGGACGTTGATTCAAGATAATTGGCAAAAGAACCAGAGCCACCTCCCTCCACAAGCTGCAGGTCATTCAGAACTCCGCAGCTCGTGTACTGTCCCGCACCAGGCTTCGGCGACCACATCACTCCCACCCTCGCTCGCCTCCACTGGCTCCCCATCCCCCAGAGGATTGATTTCAAGATCCTCATCCTCACCTACAAGGCCATTCACGGCCTTGCTCCCTCCTACCTCTCCAACCTACTATCCCCTACCTACCTGCCCGTACCCTCCGTTCCTCTGGCTCTGGTCTGCTCCACGTCCCCCGCCCCAACCGCCCTACCATCGGTGGTCGGGCCTTCAGCCTCTCAGCTCCCAGGCTCTGGAACTCCATCCCCCAGTGCCTTCGCCGCTTCCTCCCTTTCCTCCTTCAAGGCCGGTCTCAAAACCTTTCTCTTTGACCGAGCCTTCAGCTCCCCTCTCGACTCTCTTCCCCCTCCTCGCTCCCTCCCTTCCCTCCCCTCATCCTGACCATTTCCCCCCTCCTCGCTCCCTCCCTTCCCTCCCCTCACCCTGACCATTTCCCCCCTGCTCGGGTCATGACCCAACTGTGCAGCGCCTTGGGACGTCCTCCTGACGTGAAAGGCGCTTTATAAATGGAATCTTGTTGTTGTTGTTGTTGTTGTTGTTGTTGAGGGGAGATGAGGAGACATTTTTTTTCACACGGAGAGTTGTTACGGTCTGGAATACACAGCCTGAAAGGATGATGGAAACAGATTCATTGACAACTTTCAAAAGATAATTGGATAGGTACTTCATAGAATCATAGAATTATACAGCACAGAAGGAGGCCATTCGGCCCATCGTGTCTGGGCCTGCACTTTGAAAAGAGCTATCCAATTCAATCCCACTCCCCCGCTCTCCCCCCCCCCTAGCCCTGCAAGCTTGTCCTCCCCAAATAATTATCCAAAGAGGAAGAGGAAAAAGTTGAAGGGGAAATACTTGCAAGGATATGGGGAAAGAGCGGGGGAGTGGGACCGATTGGGTAGCTCTTCCAAAGAGCTGGCACAGGCACCATGGGCCGAATGGCCTCCTCCTATGCTGTAATATTCTATGATTCTTTGAATGGTGTGCGCTAACCCTATCTGGTCTCTGGTTCCAGGCTACGGGGAGCTCCTGTACAAACTGATCCTCAATGGTGAAAATATCGAGCACCAAGACCTGACTGGCATTCGCTTCTCAGAGGCACCTGAGGTACTCACAGCAGAGACAACAGTCTAATAATAATAATAATAAGCCTTGCGTTTGATATAGCGCCTTATCCCCGTCTTCGACACGTCGCAAAGCGCTTTGCAGAACATACGGTAAAGTGAAGTCACTGTTTTTTTTGTGTGGGAGAAATGCGGCAGCCAACTGTAGTTATAGACGCACTAAATAGGGAGAAAAATCTAATCGGAAACCACTTCTGTCTAATCAGAACCCTTGTCCTTGCTTTCATAGCCCTCCAGCCCTTGTTCCTCCCTACCTCTGTCACCTGCTAACTCCATACGGACCTGTCCGCTCCTTACACTCAGCGGGCTCCGGCCTGCTCCACGTCCCCCATTGGCGGTCGGGCCTTCAGCCTCTCTGCCCCCATCTTTTTGGAACTCCATCTCGGAGTGCCTCCGCCTCGCGCCCTCTCTTTGCCTCCTTCAAGGCGCGACTCAAGATCTTCCTCTTCGACCGTGACTGCGGTCGCCCTCCTATCCCTACCCTCCCAGCCCTCCATCCCTCTTGTTCAGAAACCCCCAGCTTGGGTCCCTGACTGTCCAGCACTAACGTGAAAGCCATTATACGAATGTAATTGTTGTTGTTGTTGTTGCTGTTAGAAGCTGGAGAGGCTGGGAAAGCGAATGGCGAGCAAGCTGAATTTAAATTATTTCGACCACCTCGACAAGTCTGACAAACACATCATAAGACATAAGCCTCCCATCTGGCTGCAGGACGACACCGCAATATCACAATGCGAATTCAGGTCAATGTGTAATTAAACTATTGTATTCCACGTTTACATCTGGTGTCTGCCTCTCACCTACCCCACATTACACCTCCTCGGGGGTAGGGTGGATGGGGTTGGTGGTGGGGGGGGGGGGGGGTGGTGGTTGGGAGGTAAGCGGGGTCACCTTGTAGCTGAATTGGCTCCAAGGTGACGTGCCTGGCAATGGAACGTCGGCATCGAGCCCCCCCCCCACCCCCTACCTCTGTGACGGTCTCTGGTCCGGTTCCTGAGCCAGGAGGGTTCGCGGTATTCCAGGGCGCTCACTGCTGATCACAGCACAGCCCGGCCCTGGCTCATCGGCAGGGCCTGGAAGGGCCGACCAGTTTTACTGGGGGCAGGGAATCTTCCCGCTCAGCCCCTGTCAGCCTCGCAAGCCAAAGCCCCAACGGAGAGGGTGGTCCCAGCTGGACAAACAGCGGGAAAGCTTGCAAGACAGCAATATCAATGGCAAGCTATGTGGATTTAGCTGGTTAGACTCCAGCAGTTACCCCAACACGCAGTCCGGGTTCCCCAAGCCTTAGCTCTTGCCAACCTGCGCCTAATACTCTCCGGAATTAGGTAAGCGGGGGGGGGGGCGGGGGCGTCCCTCCAGGAAGAGAGGGAGAGAGAGAGAGAGAGCGCATTCCATTCCAACCATCTATCTCTGGGATGTCCATGTGCAGTTGGGATGCGGGGAATTCTCAGATTGGTTTGGAGCCTCTTAAGCGACGGTAAACCAACACATCTGTGCCCTGTTTTAACTCAGACGTTGGAGACACCCCCTAAACCGACACGTTGGAGACGTTCCCTATCTCACACGCGGGGGGGAGGGTTGAACTTTAAGTGCTTTGAGATGTCCTCTCAAGGTGAAGGGCACTGTGTCAACTCAAATTCCACTGCTTTGTGTTGGAGACACTCCCTATCTCACACTTTGCGGAGGGGGGGGGGGGGGGGGTCAGCCTGGCTCAGCAGGAAAGAGAAGGGAATTTCTCCCGCCCGGCGAACAATCCCCCAAAGAAAAATTGGTCACTCACTTCATGGCTGTTTCATGGGGACACTGCTGCGTGCAAATGGGCTACTGTGTACACCAATAAATAATAATAACAATAATAATAATAATCCTTGCATTTGCTATAGCGCCTTATCACGTCTTCGAGGAGCCTCAAAGCGCTTCACAGTGAAGTCAATTGCCTGTATATTGGCTATCGGCTCTGGAACTCTATCCCCCAGTGCCTTCGCCGCTTCCTCCCTTTCCCCCTTCAAGGCCGGTCTCAAGACCTTTCTCTTCGACCGTGCCTTCAGCTCCCCTCTCGACTCTCTACCCCCTCCTCGCTCCCTCCCTTCCCTCCCCTCACCCTGACCACCTCGCCCCCCCCAAGGCTCGGGTCCCGACCCAACTGTCCAGCGGCTCGGGACGTCCTCCCGACGTGAAAGGCGCTGCATAAGTGGAATCTTGTTGTGGTTGTTGTCGCTATATATCTTTTTTACGCAGTCGCTACACTTTACAGAGGCTGTGAGATGGTGTGTAGGGGCCCCACCAAATGCAAGGTTTCGTTGTACAGTATTTTGGGTGTTTTGTGAGGGAGTTGGGAGTGATGTTATACTGACAACTGTCAACAGGGGGCGCTAGTCGTCGGTTAAGGAAACAGACCAGCAAATGAATGGGCAATGGCACCGCCTATTGGTGGATATGTGACATGACAGGCAGCTCATCATCTCACCGGAATCGAAGTCACCGGACGTTCAAAGTAATAATAATAATAAATAATCACAATAATAATCCTGGCATTTGATATAGCGCTTTTCACGTCTTCTCGACGTCCCAAAGCGCTTCACAGAACACACTGTAAAGTGAACTGACTGTATGTTTGTGGGCGAACGCGGCAGCCGATTGCGCACAGCGATGTCCCACAAACAGTCGTGGATTGAAAATGACCAATTTATTATTGTTTTGGTTTTGGAGGGATTATTATTAGGCTCTGTGTGGAGTAAGGAAACTTGGCCGAGGTCTCGCCCTCTGCCTGGATTGAACTCAGGTCTCTCGCTTGCAAAGCGAGTGCTCTAACCACTGAGCATAAGGATTATAATAAGAACATTAATAATCCTTGCATTTGATGTAGCGCCTTAGCACGTCTTCGAGACGTCTCAAAGCGCTTCACTAGAATATACTCGATCGTTAATTGCGCACCGCGGTGTCTGTCCCACAGAGAGCCATGGATTGAGCGACCAAATTATTATTATTATTTTTTAAGGGATTATTTTTAAGGCACATACACACACACACACACGCACACAGACAGACAAGAACAAAGACACACGCACTCGTACAAACACGCACGTATGCATACAGAGATATGCACGCAAAACAATTTACATTTATATGGCACCATTCACACCGGGAGGTTGTCTCAAAGCACTTTACACAGCTGGCTGGGTTCTCCAGGGTAGGAAAGGGGGGGGGGAGGCAAACACACACACACACACACGTATAAACTCATACAAAGACACTTACAGACGTTCTCACACATACACACAAATACACACGCAATCGTATACAGACACACACACACACACACAGAGTAAGTAATGGAGGGAGGGTTAGTGTATGTGTCGTGTATGTCTCAGGGTGTGAACAGGAGTGAAACACCAGCAACAAATTACATTTACACCGAGCCTTTCATGTCAGGAGGAGGTCCCAAGGCACTGGACAGTCAGGGATTTGGACTCAAGCTATGGGTTGGAATCAGGAAGGGTGGAGGGTAAGGGTGGGAGAGTGGTCGAAGAGGAGGGTCTTCAGAAGGGCCTTGAAGGAGACAAGGGAGGGAGCGAAGCAAAGGGAACGTGGGGTGGAATTGCAAAGGGTAAGGGCAGAGAGGCTGAAGGCCCGACCGCCAACGCTGGGGCGGGCCGGGCGGGGGACAGAGCGGAGGAAACGGACAGGGAGGGATGGACACCTGACAGACAGCTGGGTTGATTTGTGCTGAGCTGGGAAGCTGCTTCTCTCGGTGACTGAGAGCAATCTGCTTAACGAGGCCCGGCTGACACTCAGCAACGCATATTAATAATAATAATAATCCTTGCATTTGATATCACGCCCCGTCACATCTTCGAGACGCCTCAAAGCTCCTTCACGGAATGTACTCTAAAGTGAATTGACTGTGTATTGTGTGGGCGAAACGCGGGAGCCATTTGCGCACACACCAGCGTCCCGCGAACAGCCGTGGATTGAGTGACCAAATAGTTTTTTTTCCTCGAGGGATTATTATCCCCGGAAAGCGATCTGCAAATCGACTAACAACCAGGTTCCTACTTACTTACTGCTTGGTAAACAGAGGCGTGTGGCGTAAAGAGACTTGCCTGACGTTTTGCCCGGCCAGGGAGTGAGTGCTCTAACCACTACGTTACAGGACAGTGCTTAAGGTGCGGCCCTGACACGATACAGCCTGAGCATCATATCAGCGTCCTGCTGCCTGGTTTGTGGCGGTCTCACACTGTTTCGACATGGTGAGCGATCAGTCAACCAACACCCCAAAATCTCTTTCAGCCTCCCCCTCGGCAAGTTCTACCTCGTTCAAGCAGTCCTAGTGTTTCCTATTCTCTCGCCGCCTCGCCCCTCCCCAATGCGCTTCAGTGCTCATAATCCTGTGGCGTCCTGCAGCTCAGTGCTTTAGGGCGCTCGCCTCGCAAGCGAGAGGACCCGGGTTCGAGTCCTGGGCAGGGCGAAACGTTGGGCAAGTTTCCTTACTCCGCACGCCTCTGTTTACCTACTAGCGGTAAGTAGGAACCCGGTTGTTAGTCGACTGGCGCCTCGCATTTCCGAGGGTAATAATCCCTTCAATTGGCGGCCGCGTTTCGCCCACAAAACATACAGTCAATTCACTTCACGATATATTCTGTGAAGCGCTTTAAGACGTCTGGAAGACGTGATGAGGCGCTCTGTCAAAATGCGAGGATTATTTATTTATTCCTAGAGGTGTAGCTCCTTGCTTTTATCTGTTCGAAACGCCTTTTGCCGCCCTTAAGGTGAGACGTGAAACCAAACGTCCCGTCTGTGCCTGTTCGAGTGGGCGTTAGAGATCTGAAAAGAGAAGGGGATTTCTCTCCCTCTCTCCCGGTGTCCTGGCCGACAATCCCCCCGATAAAAAAGTCGGTGGCTCGCTGAATCCACAGCTGTTTGTGAGACACTGCTGCGCGCACAAACTGTCAGTCCCGTTTCGCCCATGAGATATACAGTCACCACACTTGGTGGTGAAGCACTTTGAGATGTCCTCCCAATGTTAAACACGATGCATCCAGCGCAGCAGAGCCCAACTCACGAGTCCACAGACCAGATGTTAGCGCTCGGGGGTGGGTGGGGAGGTGGGGGTATGAGGGGGTGGTGGGGGGGGGGGTGGAGAGGCAGTCACCACAGGCAACGTCAGTAACCTCATCTCCTGTTACTCAAACATGAACACGAGCTGCCCGAAGGCTTTCCGAAACATTCTCGACCCTTCCCGACCTCCGAAGGCGGCTGCAGGCCTCCATGTCAAGCTGGTGATTAGAATAATGAGGCGGAAGGAGTAATGAGGGGGTCCCAGGGCAGTGCCCCCCCCCCACACACACACACACATACACACCACATTGCCCGAGGTGTCACACCTGGAATTGCGCTGTGGTGTTTGGGGACAAAGGGAGTTTTAATGCAGCAGCCACACAAGGTCTGAACCCCGGCTCGTCACTCACCTATCCCCCTTGGGACGGGAGCTAAGTGGGGTCTCGTTGGAGCTGAACTGGCTCCAAGGTGACACGTTAGGCAATGGACTATCGGAATTGAGCCCCCGCCCTCTGTGACGGTATCTAGTCCAGTTCCTGAGCCAGGAGGGTCCACAGTATTCCAGGGCACTCACCGCTGATGGCAGCAGAGCCCGGCCCTGGCTCATTGGTAGGACCTGAAAGGGCCGACCAGTCATCGGGGGCAGGGAATCCTCCCACTCAGCTCCTGTTAACCCTGCAGCCAAAGCCCTAATGGGTAGG